ACATGTACCCGTGTTTTTGTACATATGTACCTTTACCTGTGTTTTTGTACCTGTTTCTGTTTTTTTGTACCTGTACTAGTGTTTCTGTATCTGTACCTATGTTATTGTACTTATACTTGTGTTTTGTACCTGTACCTATGATTTTGTACCTGTACCTATATTTTTGAACCTGTACTTGTGTTTTGTACCTGAACCTATATTTTTGTACATGTGCAAGTGTTTTTGTACCTGTACCTACGTTTTTGTATCTGTCCCTGTGTTTTTGTACCTGTACCTATTTTTTTTTTGTACCTGTACCTATGTTTTTGTACCTGTAAATGCGTTTTTGTACCTGTACCTGTGTTTTTGTACCTGTATCTGTGTTTTTGTACCTGTACCTATTTTTTGTACCTGTACCTATGTTTTTCGTACCTGTACCTGTACCTATGTTTTTGTACCTGTACCTGTGATTTTGTACCTGTACCTACGTTTTTGTACCTATACCTGTGTTTTTGTACCTATACCTATGTTTTTGTACCTGTACCTGTGTTTACCTGAGATGAGTGGTCCTCCAGCATCAGTTCCCCACCTTCTGTCATCACCTGTCCATTTCTCTGTACAAGGAGAGCGATGACAACTTTGATGTGATTGTACTCGATGTAGTCAGGTAGTCTGTCTTTAATTGGGGTCAGCTTACTGATCACTGAACAGAAAAATACAAAATACTGTTGAACACCAGGAATATGTCATATTTGCTATACCTAGTGTATCTAAATCTGAACAGCAGCGTATTATGTACATGTGAATATTAGTTTAGATACTGTTAGGCTTAACTTCAGTTTTTTTTTTCAACCATACAGTTGCTTCAAAACCTTTCATGTGATCATTAATTCAGAAATGATCAGAAACCATAATTGCTGGTGAAGCAGAAATTTTAAGGACATATGCAATGTAGTTTTGAACTTTTTCTTATTCCCTGTATGACTTCACATAATTGAAGGATCTTTGTGCAATTTTTTGATGCCTGGTAATACTGTTTACCTTCTCTGAATCACATTTTGAGGAAAAGCAGCTAAAACTATATTTTTAATCAATTTTCTTTAAAATCAAAAGGATTTTCATCATTTAATATTCGTTCAAACCTCCTGGTAATGTATGCTGATTTTTTGTCTTAGAAAATCTGATCGGACCAAGATTTTAAATTAAGAATGTGCTTTTTACATACAGAATATCTATGAAAATTATCAGTTTTAAAGGTGCATTGTAAAGTATATGTATTTTCTCCCAAATGCACCTAGTCACATACCTGAATGTATTTCTGGGCCTTTGATAACTTTTGTGACGACTTTCTCAATCTGCGGTGTCACCCCTAATTTAACTGGATCCACCTCTAGGCCGACTTTGATTGCTTCACACAAATGGCTGACTACTGTAGTAGTTTTTATTCCTCTTAATGATGCAACTTCTTCCTAGAAAACAATCACACATTTTATCACATGAATATAAAACATTTTTATCATATGAATATAAACTTATTTCACAGATTTCAATGCAAGTCCAGAGAACTTCTTTCAATCTTTAACCTCAAATTAAATAGGAGTACCAGCAAACATAGTTTGATGTCTGACAAAGTTTAATGTCTGGTAAAGGGTTTTAAAAGATATTGAACAGACCACTCGGTGAAAACTACATCTGAAATACTGACCGACAGATGTAAACCAATAGCCTCATTTTTTCAAAGAGGGGCTATAATACGATTCTGTATATCAGTATACATACCAGAGATTTGTTTTCAAGACCAAACATAATGAAAGATGTCCGCTGAGTTTCTGTCAGTCGACTTAGCTCCCTCTGCATGTCTTCATTACTCTGTTGGGACAAAAAAAATCACTGTAACAAAAAGTTCTATAGAGGTCTTGAGGTTCACTGACCCCCTCGTAAGAGAGATAACTCTAACTAAGATAAAGAATTAATGTCTATTTCCCCCCTTTAAAAAAACAATAAAAGGTAATTTCTGTAAAAATTTTGTACTGCAAGATATGTTGAAGTTTGGATTTCAGTTACTTTGATTTTTTTTTTTAAATATCATTATCATTTAAGCAAAATTTTACATGATGAACAGGGTAATGATGAAGAATCTCACATTTAAATATTGTCATCCTTCAGCAATGATGACAGACCTAGTTTTGTTGAGGTGAGATAAAAACTTGTATAGACCTGTCATGATCATTATTTTCATATCAAACTATGTTAAAGTAAAGTGTGTATATACATGTACACTTACTTGTACAAGCAATTGTGAATATAGTATTCAGGATGTAATTTGAAAGAAGATTTTTAAAATATTTTCAAACCTTGGCCAGTTTAATTTCTGGGAAGTCATCCATTTTGATGTCCTTTTCCTGACAATACTCTTTGAGGATTTTGATGAACTTTGGTCCAAACTTCTCAACCTTGGCCTGAGGGAAATCTTCTAACCTCAATAACGATTCCTTGCTGCTGGGTCTGTAGTGAGAAATTCAAGACCTAGATTTTATTGATGTCTCTCAAAACAAATTTACTGTTAGAGTTTACTTTCTGTTTACATGTTAAAACCACTAAATGTATAGATTTAATAGCTAGTTATTTTAAAATAAATGCATCAAAATGCTTTCCATTGACCAAACAAAACTTATATCACTGGCATGGCCCCAGTTGCCTTAAGCAAACCACTGAATTGTCAACAATCCTGTGGACTTATTCTTATATCTGGGGGTCAATGCTCCTGGGCATTTTTCCCTGATTCTTAGGGACATAATTTTGTGGCTAACCCATACATTCATTGACAAAATTAATGTTCATGGGCATGTAAATTGGTGGGTAAGGATGACCCACAAAATCCACGTACATTTATCCCCTCATGAACAATGATGATTTCACAGTATTCATCACCATTGCCAAATAAGCTAGAAACAGCAGCAATGAAAATATAAATGGAAAGCATCCTAAATGGCCTACACACACGAACATGTACACATTTTATCACTTTTAACGAGGTTCGCTCCTGAGCTTTTAAGCAAATTTTAACCTATATTTCAAAAGTTCTACATAATGTTTTAATTCTTACAATAAATTTGGATTCTACAATGCCAATTTAACTATATTCAGTTAAAACTCCATGATTAAATTCCATTCTAAAAGCATTAAGTGAGGAACTATATTTTGTGGCGGAAGGTTTTTTTGGAAGGAAATGATCATTTTTTTTCTCTTTCGAAGTATTTAAAGTATGCTAAGTTTGGATTCCTATTTTTACATGCAGTCTGCACACATAGTTATTTTGTGCAGTGGACTGTTTTATATTGGTCCTAAATTATCTATTAAATAAACTAGATAATTTTATCATGATGATATCATGAATTCTATCATCATATATGATAAAAATAGCAAATATATTGTGAACATGAAGAAAAAAATAGCCCTAATTTAAGCTTAAAATTAGCACTGTTTTAGTAATATCTAAAAATTAACATCACAGACCCCCACTTTTTATTTTCTTTTCTGAATATATACGATACTTTTAACCATTCTTCTTAAATTCAGTAAAATGTCATTACTTTCAAATGATTTTTTTGCTTGTTAAATTTTTAATGCCAGAAAAATGAAAATGTTTGAGTGCAAATAATCAAAGGTAATAAAAGGTCAAATAATTGAACATACGGAGTAATTTGAAAATTTCTTCGTTGTCACAAATTTTAATGTGTCTACCATATATACTCGCCTATAAGTTGGTTTTTTGGGAGTTAAACTTTGGTCCAAAAATCTTTGTCCGACTTATAGGCGAGTTATAAAAAGATTGGTATTTTAGCGGGTCAATCTCTCTAATATAAGCTCAAAATATACAACCGACTTATAGGCGGACCGACTTATAGGCGAGTATATACGGTATTTAAGATGAAATAAGACTGTTTTTGTCCCCATTATTTATTTGAACAAAAATTATTGGAGTAGAAACTTTAAAAATTGAATTATGTGAAAGACGTATTTACAGTGCAAAAAGGTCAAACTAAATGCTCTGTAGCGCCAAAAGAAGCGCATTGACCCCCATTTTTTGTTTTGATTTTTAAAAAAGCTATGTGTATAAGTTCTAAAAATATACTTGATAAAAAATTCTCATTACTTTTGATGGCAGGATCCAACCTCCTTAAGAGAGAGATAAAGGACATCTTTTATGAATATCTCTAAAATCCTTAAACATTCTGGTGTGAGATTTTTTTCAACTACATTTTTTAGCCTAGTCATTTTTCAAATGTTTAGTTTTGAAGTCCTGAATTTCCAATATCAATGGTTTTGGGTGTTTAGAGATGTCTAATGTAGAACACATAAAGTGTACCTGATTTTGGCCATGTCCAGAAGAACCTTATTACTGGCTATAGAATGCGGTGTGTATCCTGTGTCCTGTGCCAAGTCGTTCCTCTCCTTTACAAGCTTGGAATACAAATCAGCCTAAAGATGAAATTATGTTCATGTACTCATTTTTTGTATTGAACACATGGGACACATTCTGTAAATATTTACTGGCAAAAAAAAAGTATGCTAATGCTGATAAATGGTGCCTGTTTATTATCATATTACTTGTATCCTGATTAAACATCTAGATCAAAATAAATTCCTAAGGCCAAAATAAAAAATACCTTTGTTTCCCCTAACGCGACCGACCCAATTAAAACATGCTGACTGGAAAGTTTTTCTCATAAGATTATTCCAATATTTTTTTTTTTTATATATGTTTATCAACTTTTATAAAATAGAATTCCATCAAAATCCGTTTAACTCCTAAGGCCAAAATAAAAAATACCTTTGTTTCCCCTAACGCGACCGACCCAATTAAAACATGCCGACTGGAAAGTTTTTCTCCTGAGATTATTCCAATATTTTTTTTTTTATATATGTTTATCAACTTTTATAAAATAGATTTCCATCAAAATCCGTTTTCACAAGAGCGACTGATTTTGTTCTGTGATTTTCAAGCGTTCGTTGGAAACAAAATGGCGCCCACGTTTCGATCAAGGAGGGTAAATTCATGTTTTAAAAGAAAGAAGATGTATCAACCTTATGCCTCATACAAGACTCCTACACTCTTGAAACACTTTGTTAATAAAATGAAATATGCAATGACCTTTTAAGCGTGTTTCGGTTGTATTTACCAGCCTGTCTTGTCGCCCGCATTACGCAGTGGTTAGAGCGTCTGCTCTAGAGTCGCGGCAAAAGGAGTTGATCCTTACATCGTGGGTTCGAATCCCACTGTGGGGCATGGAGACTGGTCCTTCGGATGAGACTGTATAAACAGAGGTCCCATGTCACAGTAGGTGCTGGCACGAAAAAGATCCCTCACTGCTCAATGGCCGTAAGCGCCGAGTATAGGATAAAATTTGCAACTCTCCACCGGCAAATGGTGGTGTCTCCATATGAGTGAAAAATTCTCAAGAGGGACGTTAAACAATATACAAACAAAAAAAAACAACCTGTCTTAAAATGATGACCAAAGAGAGGGTGAGAGAATTTGGTCATTAGAGAGCATGCTTAGGCCCATAGAACCTCCTCATGATACCCCTCATGAGCAGACAAGAGGCCCACCTTGTGAACAAACCAATCAATTTCACTGCATTTTTTTTAGTTTGAGTTTTGATCTTTTAAACAGTTCATCAATATTCCCATGTTTACTACATGTATATGTGACCATAAGAGTTGTAAATAAGTCTGCATATTTCATCCTAATGAATAGAATTCAAACGTCCTTTTTTCATGCCCATTAAACATGGGTTAAATTTCATGACTTTGACATTGTGCATGACATTTTATCATTTTAAGATACGGGTTGTCTCAATTAAATATGGTCAACATACTTTTCCAAATAGATTTGAAATTATGATACAAGCTTCCTGAGACGTCCGTGCAGTTTTCTTTAACAAGACCCTTGAATTCAAAATAGATTGTTCCTTTGTATTTGGATTCCTTTGATAATTATTGGAAAACAATATTTATTAAAATATTTGTCTGCTGAAGGGCTCCAAATTTAGACTTGTATGCGACACTTTAGGCCATTGAGCAGTGAGGGATCTTTTTCGTGTTAGTATCTACTGCGACATTGGACATAGGTTTTATGGTCTCATTCGAAGAACCGGTCTCAACGTCCCGCATTGGGATTTGAACCTGCAACTTAGAAAATAGCTCCTTACTTCGAGACTCCAAAACAAAATGCTCCAGAACCACTGCACAGTTCAAAGTCCTTGAAAAAGTACACTGTATGTGTAAGCACTGTAAGCACTGGAAGCTGATAAAATACTCGGACGTCCGGTCTTTGCTTACCCGAGAATCTTTTAAACAGATGTATTCAATTTCAACAAATTTATTCTGGTATGAGATATTTCACAATTTCGATTAATAATAGTTGTGAATTAATTTACCTTAAATTTTAGTCTAAACAGCATCTATGTGGTATTCTAGTTGTTACAAATTGCTTTCTTTTGTACTTAACTTATTTATAAAGGTATCATTCCATTTAATTTTAAGAATGTGTTTTCAAAGCTGCTGTCAAAAAAAAAATGTTTGCCTACCTACCTACCCAACTTGAGATTTTTGGGTCGGGTTAGGGGAAACAAAGATATTTTTAATGATAGCTTTATGTGAATTAAAACAAAAACAACAAATCACCTTGACCCAAACTTCAGTGCTCCACGGTACTAGAACAGATTATTCTACATGTGTATCCAGATCACAATTCTCATCTTAACCTGCATCCACATTCCAAGCAAACAGTTTACTTTTTAGTGGATCAAGACCCAGTTAACACTCAGCTGGATCCAAATCCAGATCAAAAAGTCATCTATGTGGATCAAGACTCACTTTTGTGGATCAAAGTCTCGCAGCATGCCCATCTATGTGGAACAAGATATAGTTAATCAACTTACCTTAGTGGATCAAGTTCAAGATGAAACATTCAACTGGATCCTAATCAAACAGCCTATCTTAGCTACTTCTAGGTCCCTATGAAGATTAAGCACCTCTTACCCACCCACCCACCCCCCTCCCTCAGCTTAACATTATTTTACCTGAATTCTGAGGGTGTTTTCATCCACCTCTGGTTTCTTTGGTGCGAGAATTTTTGGAGTTTCTTCTGGTTTACTAGTCCAGCTGGAAGCTCCTGACATCTTGGTTGGTTCACTAACATTCCTCACCAACGGAGCAGGTCTGCAAATAATAAAAGTTACAGTTTTTTTTATAATGAAAAAAAATTTCACTCCTTTTTTTTTTTAGAAATTTTCCATTGCTCTAAAAGTAAATTATTTCAGCATTGAATTGCATTGTTTACTGTAAATCTGCTTTATATATTTCCTAATATCATCTGTGTATTCAGCCATTTTGAAGCAAAAGAGCTTTAAATTTTTTACTCCCTTACTGAAGAAAATAAAATTCAAGGTATACATTTATTTTCAGTAAAATCAATTTCATTTTATTTACCATCATTAAAATAAGTAACACATCTAACGTGAATCTAACCAGTTTGATATGTGAAGTGTTGATCTTTACATTTTTATGAGGCTTTGTTAGCCAGGGAAATTCTAATGTGAATAAATATTGTACCTGACTGAGACAGATACTGTAGGTTTCATCTCTGACAACATATCTGTGGTTGGGGTCATCTTCAGGGGTCGTGACCCCTTCATCCAGGCTGACCCTTTCTTTGAGAGCTCCACTGTGGAACCAAAGCTGTTACTTATGGCTACTTCCTTTAAGTAACCCTCGAACATCAAAGCCTTTCCTAAACATAGCAATCACTGACATTTCACAAGGGTGGAACACCCCCTTTTATTGAGGGGGGGGGGGATTTCACACATATCTTTATTCATTCCATGAATATACACCAATAAACTATAAAACTAAATCAGATGACATAAAAACATACCAAAACTTTTCCACCAGTTAACTTTTCTGTACCTGGTACAAGGGAAACAACTCTGTTTAATACCCAAAACATTTGACGTCATTTTGTAATTAGCCATTTTTTCCCTTTTCTCCATGAAAAAATAATGACATATTTTATAGAACATGTCATCTAAAATACTAAAACTTTGCACAGATTACATGTATATCCATGACTGCTTTAAAATGAAAGTCTAGTACTTGAACCACTTACTTTCCCTTCCCAAATCCAGGAAGATGAGAAAATTTGCTTGTTTTCTGGGAGTGAGACCCCACAATAAACAAGACAACTGTCTGGAATCCAAATCGACTGCCTAATGTCTAAAATTAGAACATTCTATTAATCTAAAGACAAAATTATCCCAATTAGTGCCTTTTTCACCTTTACTTAGATTTTTTTCTTTTTTGGAATAAATGTACAGTAGTTTTAAAAACCATTTTCTCAGGAATTATACCAACTATAGCTGGTTATTTAACATGCTTCTCTAAAACTCTTAAAATATAACCTCAAATTTTCAAACCATGTACATTCATGAATGAACACACAAAGATATTAAGCCTTTGTGAACATGAATCAGCTTTTTTGAGCACTATAAAAATGAGTTACACTGATGGAGGACAAACTGTCCCTTACATACATGTGATATGTACAGGCTGTACGCAAAATGTACAGTTTTTCGAGCCCATTCATCATGTACAGGCGGGACACCAAAATTCACGGAATATGAAAATTTGTACAGTATTTTGAATTTCTCGCTAAATGCCGCCATTTTCCTCTCATTCTCGCTCACGAGACACTGGAAAACGTTACCTGTGTTTGACACTTGACCTTCTGATAATTGTGTAGTGTACACAAACCATCGCGTGCGAAGGTGTGAACTGCCAATTGGGATAATTATCTTGCTATAAATCCGTATCAAATACCCCTTTAGGTAGCTTTATTTCTTAAGGGGTACTTAATTACTGTTACATGTAATGTTTCGTATACGTAACTTGATTGAAAAAAATTAAGCCAACTTCTGAAGTTGATATACATGACTTAATATACGTGAATCTGACCCAGATCTTCGTAGGTATAAAATATACGATGTTTATTACAATGATTACGATGGAATTTCAGAAAAATCTAAGCGATATTTTATACCATTTTTGTACTGTTTTTTGATAGGCAGTGTACAGTTTTTTCACCAAAATTCCAGTTTTTTTATGGCTCCTGTACAGTTTTGTGGTCTTTGACTTATCACATGTATGCCCTTAATCACCAGAGGATATAATACTACAGAAGATTTCTTTTTCCTTATATATGTATGAACATGTATATATACATGTATTTTTTACTGTTAATGAAAATAATTTTTTCTTGATTTTAAGATTGATGAAGTTGTTTCCACTATATTAATGACAAGAAATGCAAGTTTCTCATTATATGAATCTGTTCATCTCTATGTTGCATGAGTTTTCTCATTAAGGGTTTACTATAAAATATCAAAACTTGTAGAAACGTAATTTATGTCCAATAACGAATTATGAATAAAAGTCAAAACAAATACAATACACATATACGTGTGCATGTTTATGTACCTTTAGACTGTTCATTTTGAATGACAAAAATTACTGCATACAAACCAGAATAGCATCAAAGAACTCTCGTGCTTCTTTACTGAAATCTTGCTCCCCTGTATCAAGGTCACCACCAGGGGGCAGCACAGTAGACCAATTCTTGGCATCATAGTAACTTTGCTGTTGGCTTCTCTCAATGCTGAAGATGACAGATTTAAATTTCTTATGAAAACTAGATTTCACTGAGATGGTGAAGATCTCAAAGGACCCTGCTTTTAGTAAAGGACATAAGATTAAAAGAGACTTGTACAGGACTGTATTTGGAGAGGATCATTTTGCACTCAGAAAAGTGTTTAACATTTTACACAGAGTTGTGCTCTGACCTTCACAATTGATTTGACCACTTGATTTGTAAATAAATAGCATATGGAAAGAAAAATGTTTCTTATCTACTGTAAACAGGGTTATTTTTGCCCCGTGTTATTTTTGCCCTATCACACTTTCAAACCATTTTGCTTCATTTTAAATTTGATCAAACATAGTTGTGTTGAAGATATAACTGTCTTATCTGAATTAGCCCTATTTTGATTTCACCCACATTCAACAAGAACAAGAGGGGCAACAATAAAACTGGGGGGGGGGGGGATTTTCCAATAAACTCTAATACTAGCTTACTTCCTGCGACAATTATCACAACAGTTAGTTGTTCCTCCGATGTCATCTAATTTCCTGTTTTCAAAATGTGAAAGTAGTAACCTGCCAAAAAAGAAAATGACAATATTCAATGAAAACTGCTTTGTAAAAATTCAGTCCTTAGAGATTCTGATTTAACAAATTCTTTGCAGACTGAGGAGGGATACTTTGAAATTGTGTGCATACCTCCTTCTACATGTGGAAGCCTTCAAGTATTGCTGCATTTTCCCCAACATCTTCATCTTGTGTTCTCTGAATGCCTCGTTATGCAGTTCTTTTATAAAGTGCCTGTGTAATTAATCATATCACATCATACAAGGACAGATGTGTTATCTAGTGTAATATATACTTTTTCACATATATACAATAAGAGAAACTGTGAATTGCTATCAAGAGAACTAAGAGGAAATGTGCATCATATTTAATCCTTATTCTCCAACTCAAGATATTTTAAACTTTATGTTATTCACACGAGTTAGTGAAGCAATTCTGCACAAAAGTCATGTGTCCTGATCTATACAGTAATCGGAATAGCTCACCTGGATGTATTGAAATCTTTCTCTGCGTAGAACACATGGCACTCACTGGGCAGTCCGTCTCTCCCCCCACGCCCCACCTCCTGGTAGTACGACTCTATATCCTTAGGAGCTAGAGAACAGAAACGGATGTCAATTTGTAAGCACAGGTAATTACTGATCACCTTATACTAATACGATTTTATTCCTCAAAGGGCTACAGAAGAAAAACAAGATGTGTTTGTGATACACTACGCCCCCGATGATAACACAGTTCTGGAGTGGGACGTAGACTACAGTGCAATAGTTATAGCCAATGTTAAAGTTTTTCAAATGTAGGTCAAAGGTCACAGTTGAGGTCACATGATTAAAATTTCTGTACCAATGGAAAGGTTTTGTCATAAGGAACACTCATGTCATATATTAAAGCCTTACCCTTGACAGCACAATAAATTATGGGCTAGGTTAAAGTTGACAACAGACAGGCAAACAGACAGACAGGACAAAAACAATATACCCCCGGGATCTTAATAATTGTACGTTTATTTATAAGAACTTACCACCATAGTGAATGACCTTTCTGACATCAGGTTTATCGATGCCCATCCCAAATGCCACTGTTGCAATAACAACCTGAAGTAGATTAAAGAAGTCTAAATCTGTGAAAAATTATCAATAATTTTTACACTCCAGTACATGACTGTGAAAAACCTTTGACCAAGAATAACATTGCACATCCACTAATGGATAGATAAAAATATATTTTGAGACAAGCACTTTGAATCAAGACAACTGATAAACTAATTGAAAATTAAATGTTTCATCTGAATTGTTCAGGAAAAAATAGGTAATCAGAGATTACAGAGCTCACCTCAACGAATGTTGTCTTTAAGTAAGGCAAAGTCCCACACTAAACTAATAATCTAGTAATGTGCATCCCTAGATGCAACATTTATGCAATTTTGGTCTGATGGGGCTTGCAGTTACTTGGGAATGGACTTATCTAAAAACTTAAAACTAGTCACTCATCCAAAAAATGTAAGTCAAATCCAGCATCTGAAGCAAGTTTGAGAGTGTTCGTCACTTGATGCATCATCCATGCAAGTTTGGTTCAGATAGACCTTATAGTTATTGAAAATGAGATCTGCTCCAAAAACTTTAACCTGGTCACTCATCCAGAAAATATAGGTCAGATCCAGCATCCGAAGCAAGTCCAGTAGTGTGCATTCTTAAATGTATCATCCATGCAAGTTTGGTCAACATAGGACTTAACGCTGCTTGGAAATGAAATCTGCTCCAAAAACTTTAACCTGGTCACTCATCCAGAAAATGTAGGTCAGATCCAGCATCCGAAGCAAGTCCAGTAGTGTGCATTCTTAGATGTATCATCCATGCAAGTTTGGTCAACATAGGACTTAACGCTGCTTGGAAATGAAATCTGCTCCAAAAACTTTGACCTGGTCACTCATCCAGAAAATGTAGGTCAGATCCAGCATCTGAAGCAAATTCAGTAGTGTGCATCCTTAGGTGTATCATCCATGCAAGTTTGGTCAATATAGGGCTTATAGTTACTTGGAAATGAGACCTGCTCCAAAAAGTTTAACCTGCTCCAAAAAGTTTAACCTGCTCCAAAAACATTAACCTGGTCATTCTTTAGCTGAAATTGCAGCATCTGAAACCTTGACTGGTACAATGAAACATATTAGAAGCATCCTACATGCATCTCTGATTAATATAGGGCATAGAAGTACTTGAAAAGAAAACTGCTCCAAAAACTTTAACCTGGGACACCGACGCCGAGGGTAGTACATAAGCTCCCCCAACTTCGTTGAGGTGAGCTAAAAATGTTCATTAATTTGGACAAGAGGTCCATGGGCCACAACACTCACCTGAGTCAACAGATCAAAGTGTACCTGTACATGTAATTTATTTTTTCTTACATACATGTATATTTCAATTTGTGGCCTGGATCTAGCCCCAGGTTTAATATTTGAACAAACTTAAATCTACACTATATGAGGATGCATCCAAATTAGAATACCAATACAGTGCCCCTTATTCTTGAGAAGAAGACTTTAAAAGATTTTTCCTATACATTCCCATATAATACACTGACCTATAACTTTGACCAATTGTATTCCAATCCTAGCTCCAGACTCCATTCTTTTCACAAACCTTATTCTAAACTACATGTGTATGGAGATGCTTGTAATGTAAAATATTACTGATTGCAGACCTGCAATTCTTGAAATTACTATTCTTCAAAATACTTTTTCCCTTCTATACTACTGAACAAAAAATACACTGTACATAAGCTTGAACTAGAGTGTTCCTAGGAATGCATGTGTCACCTGCTTTGTAACATTAAAGATATAACTAAATCTTAAAGTGGTCAGTTATTTACTACTAGCATGATAGTTTATGCATTTGCCTGCAAAGAAAACAAGCATCCATGGTAAATTTTGCTCGTAGGACTGTGAATATACATCGAGATAAGCAGGGTAGTCAACATAACCGAGGTTGACATATCAGAGTTTTTGTAAATCATTTCTATAGCTGGGACGGACGTTGACATATCCCAGTTTGTCAACATATCTGATGTCCGAATACAGAAGTTTACCTGCATTCTGAAAATATGTTTTACCTGGATTTGGTCATTCACAAACTGTCTGTGTGCCTTATTTCTCTCTGTCTGTGTAAGGCTTGCATGGTAGCGGGCACTGGGTATATTCATACCTAATGGAAAGAGAATATATCTTCATCTAGTATAATTATTTTTGACCTCAAGTAATGACCTTCACCTTAAAAAAAACATGATTTTTAAAATTTGTGAAAATTAAGAAATACCAAATTTCTTTTCTTATAAAAGTACATGTAAATACAGCAGTTTACAGGTATTATTATTATATGGCAAAAAATGTTCCTACACTATTAAATTCTGAAAGGGGCATACATATGTAAACCAGATGATTTTATTGGTCACCTTGTAAATGATGTCCTCATCTGCTTTTGAAATATTGAAATATATTCAACAGTTTTGGTCACTACATCATTCAAATGAATCAAAAAAGTTGTATAAATCTTGCTTTACCTTTCACAATAGCTGCAACTTCATCTGTGGCCTTTTTGGTTGGACAATAGATAATGGTAGGCCCCTCAAACCTATACTGGGTGCCACATTTTGTCATCTGAGACCGCAGGTCAAAGAAAATGTCAGACTTCAAACCCACAGACAGGAACAGATTTGGCCTAGAATGTACATATAAGAATAGTTTGAGTAAACTTTTCTTTACAGGTTTTTAATATATTACAAATTAGTGATCATCAAACTTGCCTAACAATTTTAGACAATATCTTTTTTTAACTCTGAAATGTATACTAGCCCTGCAGGGCCAATATTTGAGAAAAATAAATCATAAACCTACACTACATGGCAATGCTTGCATTTTAAAATGACTAATTGCAGCCCTGCTGTTTGTGTAATGAAGATTTTTAAAGACTTTTGTCTAAGGTTTCCCTCTATTTCTCAGGTAAAAAGACAATTCCCTACTATGGTCACAATCAAACCCTGTGTTCTATGATTGGAAATTTACACTATGGTACGTGGTCCTTACTAATTTGATTATCAGAGCTTCCTAGGAAAATTAATAATGAAGATTTTTTCCTCTATCATAACTATATATACATGTATATACTGATATACAACCTCAACCTTCCATTACAGCTCTATCTTACATGTACTCCCCTTGACCATCGCTTATAAAATAATTGAATTTTCACTATAAAGGATGTTTGCATACTGATAAACTGACTCTTGCCCAAATCAACAGACAGATGTAAACTGGACACTTCAGAAAAGCTCACCTGAGTCTTAGGCTCTGTTGAACTAAACTATTATATATCAATTTAAAAATATTTTTAATTAGATACTGTTCTCAAATAGTGACATCTGAATTAATGAGGGATGGGGAGATCCATGATTTAATCATTTTTCTCTTATTATAGCCACCCATATCTTAACATTCTTAAAGAGTTATGTCAAACCCTGTACACACACTTCTGGGATCCTCTTTACCTGTCAAACCCTGTACACACACAACTGGGGTCCTCTTTACATGTCAAACCCTGTACACACACTACTGGGGTCCTCTTTACCTGTCAAACTCTGTACACACACTACTGGGGTCCTCCTTACATGTCAAACCCTGTACACACACTACTGGGGTCCTCTTTACATGTCAAACCCTGTACACACACAACTGGGGTCCTCTTTACCTGTCAAACCCTGTACACACACTACTGGGGTCCTCTTTACCTGTCAAACCCTGTACACACACTACTGGGGTCCTCTTTACATGTCAAACCCTGTACACACAATACTGGGGTCCTCTTTACATGTCAAACCCTGTACACACACTACCGGGGTCCTCTTTACATGTCAAACCCTGTACACACAATACTGGGGTCCTCTTTACCTGTCAAACCCTGTACACACAATACTGGGGTCCTCTTTACCTGTCAAACCCTGTACACACAATACTGGGGTCCTCTTTACCTGTCAAACCCTGTACACACACTACTGGGGTCCTCTTTACCTGTCAAACCCTGTACACACAATACTGGGATTCTTTAATTTCAGACTTCTACAAATGTCTAGCCGCACCTCCTGTGTTGCTGTGGCTGTTAATGCCAGAATAGGAACCTACAAATTGAAGCACATGTATGCTTATATATACCCATGAATTGAATGCTTACACATTCTTTTTTTCACAAATGATTCATACATGTAAAAGTAGGTTCCATAACTCCTGCTAGTTACCGGTTTTTCTCCAACTAAAATAACTGCAACAATGTGTGCAAACAAATTGAGTAGAAAACAAGAATCATCAATGAGTTACCTTTGGGAATGTTTGTTTGAGTTGACCTAATGACCTGTAGGCTGACCTGAAGTCGTGACCCCACTGTGACACACAATGGGCCTCATCTATTGCTATCAGGTCAATCCCGACTTCCCGATCTAGATCTGTGAGACAGCTCACTCCAGTGCCTGAGGCGTACTCTGGGGTGATGTACACAATGCGATATTTACCCCTACCATACAAATAAAGAGGAAGGACAAAAGAGTATTTAATCCTAATGTGCAAATAACTTATATTTTAGCAGTGAGAGCAAATTCATGATCTTATCTGCGTTCTTGCTAATTAATCTTTTTGAATTAAAATTAAAACTCTGCTTTACAGCAGCGGTAACTACCGTAATTTTTGGAAGATAGGTCGATACTTTTCTTCTCAGAACCGTTGGGGTCGTCCTATTTAAAGAATCGACCTTTCTAAGGCTCAAGTTTACGAAAAATGACCCAAAATCCGTAAAATTTACGTCAATTTCAAAACAAATCTGTACAATTTTCGTAACTTTTTAAATTATTTTACCGAGAAAAAATAATACACAATAAAGAATTAAAGTATATATTCCGTTGATTTCTTGCAAATTAAGTTCCCTTAAATATCCACCGATGTACCCAAAAAAAATTATTTATCATCTCGTAAATAATGTTTCATCAAAGTATATTTTACAACATGCTATTTGTCTCCATCTTGTGAAGTTGGAAGTCGCATTCATTCACTAAAAATAAAACCATAAAACCGTATCAAAATCTAGAATACGGAGAAGTTTCCACAATCGCAATTTGGTAAATAATCGTCATCTTTTTTTCTTTTTTTTTAATTTTTTTTTTTTTACCATTTATGCGTATCGATGAATTGAAATTGTCTACATAAATATTTTTTCATTGTCTTGTGATATTTTTTTAAATGTAAAATGCGTGAAATAAATTGTTGCCCGTAATTCCTAAATTTATTTATCAAATATACCGCTAATCATAAATATATTTCATACATGTATCTAATTAACTAATAAAGTGAACTTATCTTCCTCATACCCAAGAGGTACACTGATTTATTCAAAGATTGGCTTCTGTTTGAATTTTAATTGTCTGACAGATAAAGGGATATACAATGCGTACAAAAAGGTGTTGACACCTGTGTTGGTTTAACCGCCTGCGGGGCATGATTTACAGCACGTGCCGTAATAGGGGTATTAGTGCTACACATCATTGAACATACAAAGCTGTGAAATTCACATTGACTGTTAAATTGCAAATGTACTCCTAATTAAATTTATTTTTACAACAAATATCACAGGCCAAATTACAGCTTGGAAATACGATTAATTTCAATTGCTCATTATTACATGTAATAGTCATTTGCGTGCTTCAGCTAATCCCTAATACAAGAAATATAAAAATGGCGGTCATCGGATATTGTAAATAATGCCTATATAAAATAGGTTAAGGATGTCCACGATGTTTAAAAATGGAAATCATTATTGTTTGATCTTGTGTATTTCCCTAATTTATAGCTGTCGTATACTACCGTATTTATGGATACTGTTTAACGACAGAGTCAAACTACGACGGCATTGAACTGGCAAGTTGGAGAAAATACGTTGTATAGAAGAATTCAAGGAAGTTTCAACTAAAGAAACTTTTTTTTGATATCAAACACTATTAAAATGTTTCAAAAAATACCATTTTATTTTCTCAATACGATAATATCACAGGTTAAGCCAAGAAGTTCAAATGTTCTGATACGTAGTATCTACATCTAGAAATCGATAAACAAAGCCTCGTCCTTTCTTCCGCATTCGTCCAATCTAAGGATTTTTTAAAAATTACGGCTGAAAATGAGCCTTTCGACCTATACACCCCATCGACGTATACCCCCAAAATTACGGTACATTTTTTTTTTTTATAAATGATAAAATGAAGCTGAATCAAAATTCAAAGAGAAACATGTGGTTGAATAGTCTACCTCCTCAAATCATGAAGGACTTGACCAGAATTCTCCTGAGCTGATCCTAAGAAGCAAGCTTCTATATTAGCTGCCCTGAAACATTAAAAACCCCTCTAACATCAATAATTCCATATAAACAACTTTGTCTTCAGTTAAGGTATTGCTTTACCAATCAATCTTATTAAACTTGTTGATGAAATTTTTGTATGCCAGTACCAACAATTAACACAGTTCTTACTTGAGCCCCATCACTTGATCTTGCATCAGTGAAATAAGAGGAGATATAACCACTGTAGACCTCTGGGTAAATACTGAGGGGTACTGATAGCACAAACTCTTACCATAGCCTGAAATCAATAAAATAAGAGGAGTGCAGACTGACTGAAATCACATGAACATGATCATATACCAGTAAAGAAAAAATGCCAAGATTCATACATTTACATACATGTAAATAATCAACTGCAGATGCAGTCAAATTCAATCCTAAAAACATTATTTCCACTGGATCAACCCCTACTTTAATTTGCAATTAACTCAATTATTGTTGGGGGGCTGACAAACCTGTAGCCATGACAACACAGCTGTCTCTTTTGTCGTTCAGGACAGAGTTAATAATTTTCCACTGCATCCTGTGAGAATAAACACAATATGTTTACATGTATCATATTTGATGAAAACATGTGTCATATTTGAACTTTGATGAACACTCGTATCATTTTCAGCATCTAGACTACATACACACATTTTATACTTTAATAACACCTCATAAAAACTGTGTTACATTCTTTATTGTAAAAATTTCAATGTGCTTTTTGAAATTTGATTGAGCATTACAGGTTTCACTTGCACAGTTGGTGCTAGCTGTCAAATTAAATAAAGTGCCCTGCCACAGCATGATATGCTCGTCAAATATTTTTCAATTCTCATAAACAGTTTAGGGTGCAAGAAAATCATGTCAACCTTGATTCAAAGATTTCCATGACTTTTCCGTTCCTTATAATATTTGCTGTTTATACATCTCCTGTAGTGTAGGCATTAATTATAACAAATATTACATCATAGATTCTCAACTGGTTGTGTCAGAGCTTGAGAAATGCCAATCTGCAACCCAACTCATATCAAACAATATCAAATTAGTCTTAACAATTTAATCTATACCAAATTAATTTTGAAAATAAAAGGCTGGCCATCAAATGAAATATGCTATAAACTGACTAGTAGATCTTCTGTCTAATTCTCAAAGGATGCAGATAAGAACTGCTTGATCACAGATGCTCTAACAGAAATGATTGAGACAGCTAGCCTTCTTACATTGAACTCATTAAGTAATAATTATTATAATCTTTAACTGGATGCATGTCCATTCATTACTCCCAAGGGATGAATGGGTCTGCACTATCTGCTTTGTAGTCTGTATTGCAGTAAAAATGCATATTTATGTCATTCTGTTGAAAACAGAGATTTTTTCAATTTGTTACAAAGATTTATAAAAAGAAACAAAAACTTGTGTAATCTTGATGCAACATTTTTGGTAACTGCATGACTCTTAGATTTGTAGGCACTATCTACCATAAAACATTTTATTTTTAAAATACCTGATGATTTTTTTTAGATTTAATGTCAAACTGGTTTTAAGCTGCAGTGCATACGGACAAATGGACATGCTGATTCCAATATCCCCCATATAATTAGTTATAATTATATTATACTATATCAAATTAGTTTATTTTACAATATAAAATTAGTTTTAATTACTTTTCACCAAATTCATTTTAAAAGTTAGGCTAGCCAAAAAAATCTATTTAATCCAACACGGCTGATTCTTTTTGCCCAGTTCCCAAGAGATATAGATAACACCTGCTTGATCAGAGATGTCTACCAGTTAGCTCCTCACACTAAAACTCATTAATTTCTCTCTAATTTGACATGCAATTTTCTGTTATCAAAATTCTCCTTGACCAGTGCTTGATAATTACATTTGTTATAGATTGCTGTAAAGTATATAATGAAAGAAAATAAGTATTTTCTTGATTTAACACTTTTTAATAAGGATACTGTAACACTCTTACATTTTTTTGGATTGTGTAATTCAATAGCATAGAGACACAGATTTTTTTTAAAAATTTCACCTAAATAAAAGGTCACAGTGACCTTGAAATAGGTTGCGACACACCTACCTAAGATGCATAAATTGGCCAAGTTTGATGATTCCAAGTCTAATAGTTTTCTAGTTATGAGCCAGACAGGATTTTTCCTTATTTGGCCATAGCATTTTAATTAAAGGTCAGAGTGACCTACTTTTAATGTGCGACACACCTTCTACCCAAGATGTATCAGCTGACAAAGTTTCATAATTCTAGGTTTAATAGCATTAAAGTTATGAGCCGGACACAAAAAAGCTAACAGATGGACGGACGGACATGAACGCCATAACATAATATGTCCTGTCTTAAGATGGGCGTATAAAAAAATAATTTTACACACTAAACATTCATAAAATATTTTTTTTCATTATTTAGAATTTTTTCTCTCTCAATACTTGTATGCTATGGGATATATAAAAAAAATCAACATCTATTACAGTCAAAGCTCATTGCACAATCTGAAAAGCCTACATACAGATCTGTGAAATAAAAAAAACTTACGGCCTGAATTTGGAATATCCAAAGTATTGCTTCAGGACTTCCAGGTATTTAGAGTCATCTGGCTGATTCTGAGGATCTAGAAATTTTCAAATTGATATATTTAATTATCAAACTTGATGTTTGTTTTGATTTTTTTCCTCTTTTCCTTTCAATTCTGAAATGCCATTTACCAGCAATACACACTCGAAAAGATTATTATGTTCAATATAACTGTTTTCAGGTAAACAATATTTTTAACATTTACAAACAAAAAATGCATTAATCTATTCCTTATCTAATGTTATATATACATACAATAATTGAAACATGTGAAATGCAAAGCATTTTCTAATAAACTGTTTAACATGCTGAAGTGCACATTTTAACAAGAGAGATATTTTGATACAAACATTTACACAGTTTCAATATTATTGTCACAGAGTGGAGTGCAACACATGTACCTGTAGGATGCTACCCCTTATTGAAAATTTGACTTGTTCATTATATATTGTACATATATATACATATATCTCCTTACCATTGTCCCCGTCATCTTCTACCACATTTTTGTTGCTGTTAAAACTCTGTTCTGCCTCCTCTATCTCCTAATAATGTGATATCAGTACATGAAGTTACTAATTTAAACCAATATACAATTTTTCTAAGAATGGAAACTGGAAAATTGTTCAGTCTCTTCAAATTCAAACAAAGCCTCTACTGACAATAATTACAAAGTCAAGGCATGATTAGAAAGAAAAGTGATTTTCAGTATTAATATGCTTAATTTAAAACAATGCTAAATTTCTACGTGTTTTCAATTAATATACAGACATATGACTAAACTTTCTTAAATGAAAACAAAACAAATCAATCTTATATATATAATGCATGCATATTTAATTCAATATCTCTTTAAATTCACTAGTCTTTGACCATATAATTTACTTTTCAACTGCAAACTGATTAAAACTCATCTGCTCCCAAAAAATGACATATATTAACATCATTTACCGAACACAAATGAGATCTGGTTTTAATCAGATTAATAAATCAGCAAATTGAATCATTTCTCACAGATGCCTGGTTACTTATCATGATTTTTTGATACCACAATACCTGTAGCATGCTATCATCGAAGAAATCTTCATCAGATCCAAAACCGTCAGCTGTTTCCTCTTGCCCTTCATTGACAGCAAAATTATGGGATTGATTTGAATTGTGGGATACTTGTTCTTCTGATGGTTCTCCTTCCTCCATGTCTTCAGTACCATCCGAATCGAAGTCAGTTTTAGATTCACGTCTTATTTCATTGTCCCTCGAATCTAGTCCCCTTTTCTTTAAATTACATTCTTCATCACTATCAATTTCCAAAGAGATTGGATCAGAGTTATTTTTCACATTTTTTGACAAAGATTCTCCGAGGTCCGTAACTTGGCCACTGCCCTTACCACATGAACAACAACCCGCTTTTACTGTTTCCTTAATACCCCCTGTTTTGCTGACATCCTCTCCCTTGAGAAGTTTTCCTACATCTTTTAAACAGAGCCCTGCCTGTTCCAAGTATTCAAACACCTGCTGTGTGTCAGTATTGCTAATCAGGTTATCCCCAGAAACAAGCTGGCTAATCACACCTGTAACAGACTTCCGTAACTCTTGTAGTTTCTTAATCAATACGTCAGTTTCCATTGCTGTCCTTGTTCAACAACTCACTGAAAAAGCAATAGAGTTTCCTTGTTTACTACTACAAGTACAACATTGATCAAATTAAAATAAAATATACGATTAAGTCTTTGTTATATATATCAACAGTTAGGGCGAGACCGAGTTCATCATTTCTGAAAATGATAATTACTGGTCATAAAATCAAACCTATATATGGTGTATCTGAGCTAAAAAATGACAATACGAGATTGAGTGTAGATATATATGACATAATGTTATTTACATTCAATTGAAATTTTACCGATTTTTAACTTGAATACCCTCACGTTTCTATAATTAAATCTATTTTTACAGTTTACAGACCAACGCAATCTCTTGATCTAGCTATAAAGCTTGAATTAGCTATATAGCTTTATTTAGCAATTCAGAATAGCTTGATAAATCTATTTCAATAAAGCTTTCTACAATTTTTTTTTTTAAATTACAAGAAATGGACAAAAACTTGGGAGTATGTAACAACTTATACTAATCTATGGACTATTTAAAAGGAACCCTAATCAAACACATTTTAACAGGTCCAGCACAATCTCTTGATTTAGCTATATAGCTTGAAAAAGCTATATAGCTTTATTAAGCTATTCAAAATAGCTTGATAAAGCTATTTATGTGCAGTTTTTCAGAAAAAATTTTTTGTAAGAAAAAGACAAAAAGTCGCAAGTATTAGACTATTCATATATGTACTGTGGGCTATCAAAACAACAACTGAAATCAAAGATAGTTCTAACATTGCAGCATTTGAGTTCTTTTAAGCAAAAGATGAATTTCCATTGTTTGAGTAACTGTACACGACCTTGTGTGCGTTGAGACATGGATTAGTATGATTGCTTCTCATTGTACTGAATTATTACCAATCCATTATCTTGTTGACCATAATTGGCCTCTTTTATAATTTCAATGAAGAAGTAACTGTATCAATTGCTTTATATAGCCCCAAAACTTTTAGAACTTTGAGTACAAAGTCTATTAAGGAGACGCAATTTGATGAGTGATTTTTACATGCTTTATTTCCAGAAGAGTTCAAGGTTGAATATTATCACTGCACCAAGGTGCGACTTTTTGTGCATGCTGAGAAAATAAAACATTTAAGAAAAAAGTGTGATAAAATAGCTAAATTAAGCTATTCTGAATAGCTTAATAAAGCTATATAGCTAAATCAAGCTATATAGCTAAATCAAGAGATTGTGCCGGACCTGTTTAACACTGATGCTTTTGAGTTTCCTAAGGATATGCAATTTGGCTAAGAACCATTTTATACATGATGAAAAATTGCACATTATAGAAAAGTATGATAATTAAAAATAGCTAAATCAAGCTATATAGCTAACTAAAGCTAAATACACGTAACAATGGCATACTTCAGACGCTTAGTGAGCTAGTCTGTCCTTTCCTATTTTGCCGCCATTATGAATATATGTTAAATCGTACATAGACTTATTTGTACTCTCCCCCACTTTTCATTATTGAATAGAGAGATAAAAAAATTTATGTCTCTGTTGATTGTAAATTTTAATTTGTGCAGAGGGTAAGACGTAGGACTTACGCTATATCTGCCCTGTAAACAGCATGCGATATAGTCGAATAGAATTAAATTGATCTGATTTGTTTCGACAGGTGGCGCCACCAAAATGGCAATTATTATCATGGTAGGTCACATATTTTGCAATATTTCTTCCTAACGGTAAATGTAGATTCCATATTAAACATTGAAAGAGTGTTGGAATTTTGAATGTACGTATCCTGTGAAATTACTGTTTCTGTTTGCGATGGACATACTAGTAAACACGAGAAAGGGTTCATTGATTCGAATTTCCTCGGAATCAGTATTTATTTACAAATGTAAATTAATGTCAAACAAAGTTGACTTTCATTTTGTTTTCAGGGGAAAATGGTCATAAAGTTCAGATGTATTTATTTATGTTACTAAATGTTTAGGAATAATTATCAGGTCCAGTATGATCAGTACATTTAGCAGTGTACATGGCACAGGAGTTCACAATTTTATCAATAAAGTCAATAAAAATCACTCGATTGACCAAGCCATGAGCTATGCGTTAGCATAGCGAACAGGAATGCAACATGCTTTTGGAGAAATCGACCAATTTGCTTTTACCCACTGCTTATTCAATACAACTTGTTAAAATTCATGTCAAACAACATTTCTCTACTAAAATTTGTTCTCTAACCCTTCTGGAATGCTGTCAATACCCACTTTCTTTGATTTCGCATAAACATTCGTTTTACCGAGAAGCCATTGCGTGACGTCACATCAAACCCGAACCTGACAGATAATTATCAAATAAAAAAAAAAAAGATAGAGAATAAACTTTGAATTATTTCCTGTTGCTTTATATTATCACCAACTTACCAAAGTGTATCAGCAGAGTTGTTGGACACGACGAATTTCCTTTTACTTACTCAATATTTCAATTTGCACGCACATGCAACTGAAATTATAGCCCTTTGTTTTTGAAATTTTTTTTTTTTAATTTATGACAATCGAATAATTATCTGTCAGGTTCGGCTTTGATGTGACGTCACGCAATGGCTTCTCGGTAAAACGAATGTTTACGCGAAATCGAAGAAAGTGGGTATTGACAGCATTCGAGAAGGGTTAGAGAACAAATTTTAGTAGAGAAATGTTGTTTGACATGAATGTTAACGAGTTGTATTGAATAAGCGGTGGGTAAAAGCAAATTGGTCGATTTCTCAAAAAACGCGTTGCATTCCTTTGTCAATCAAGTGATTTTTATTGACTTTATTGATAAAATTGCGAACTCCTGTGGTACACGGGCACTGGAAGTTAATGTAAATATATAGTATACTCCATTTCTATGATACCAGTGGTTCTACTGTACCTGGGTATCCCTTTATTTATCAATTGGCAATTCTCTGCTGACTCCGCTACACTCCATACAAACCTTGGATGTGATTGTTGGACAAAGGGGCATCAAATCGATACATTTCTCCGCCGGAAACTGTCTTGTAACTCATTTCATATTTCGCTCTGCATTAAGTTCTTCAGAAAGTTTTTTTAACTGGTCTAATTCTTCCTTATATATTGGTTTTGATTACAACCTTATGTTAATAATCATTGAAGCCAAAAACATAGTGTTGGGCGTGCCACAAAATAACTCAGATTTCAAAGGTATAACATTTGGAGGAATTTCAAATAAGATCACATGACTGTATCAGCAAAATGGTAGAACACTATTTATGTCCGAGGTTAGTGTGTGAGGTACAAGCCACCCAAGGAGCTCCTAGTGTTTATTTATAAAAGCACTTGCCATAGGCGACACCTAATGGCCAGATATTTTTAGAAAAAGATTAGTGATACCTCGTTGGCATTACTATTGCTTTAGATCTTAAAATGTTGCAAAGTCTGGTAAGTTATCAAAAGTTACATCGGATGGTCACATTTTTAAACTTTACCTGTGACAGTCCTCACACCCTATCTTCTAAAAACGTCACAAACAGTCAATTAAAGATATTTAATCTCAAAATGATTTACAGTTTGAATAAGTTAATTTGTTCACTGAGTTTTATCACAAAATGTTGTTTGATTGTAGAGCTAATGGCGCACCATACATATACACCGGTATCAGAGTAATGATCCTTTTTACTAGCACTTACCGACGATATAATTTTTATGTGCGTTTCAAAATTTAGTGAGTAAACAAAACGATTTCATTGACAATTGATACGTCCTTGAAACACATGTTTTATTGTTGATGAGTGACATTTATTGTTAAAAATTCTAAGTATTTAGATTTCTTTTCAACCTTCATCCATAATGTGCATGTATAAAAAAAGGAAGGGTAGGACTCTCTTTTTGAGGCAAATTCTGGTTTGGGGTACTGTGGATGTTTTTAAAACGGTCTGACGCGATAAATCGATTCTTTATACTTTATTTTCAATATATATCTTGCTTCATTTGGCTTCAATACATTTTATTTGAAGAAATAGACTTTTTACACCTCCAAGTGCTTAAGATTAAGAATTTTGCCAGACTGCTCTACTTCCAGTTACAATCACAAGCGAATTTAAAGCTAAATTCTGATTTGTCTTCATTTATATATGAAAAATAATTCTTGAAATACAAAAACGCAATTTGGAAAATTTGTCAATTGAGCCATCTCCTACTGGATTAAAGAGTCGGGGAAATTTCGCTGGACAATGTTTAACTTTTGATTTTAATTTTCTACTGTTTGACTGACCAATCAGAATTTAGCTTCAAATTCACTTCTGATTGTAACTGAAATAATATATATAATAAATGAACAAGGAGAAAATTCGATCAAATACCATCTTAAATTTTATGTGTGAGTGTCAGGTGCAGCAGTCATCACAACTATTAACTGAAACAGCTGGGTCAGTGGTTTTGTTGAAACTGTTAAATGACTTGATGTTTGTCAATGGGTTCTTTTATCATCCTCCACTCATATAATACACAGTTTCATAGGTGTGGTAGAAATATATAAAGTATTATTCTGAAAACAGTATCAGGGGTGCCTCTTTTTATCACAAGATACCACAAGGTCAAATAAAAAGATAATTATCGACTTGTTGTTGAAAATGTAATACCAGAAAAGTGGTACAGTGTATAGTCTGAGTGTTAGGAAGAAGACCAGAAAACAATGGGTAGAGCTTTTTTGTATTTAAACAAACTTTTGCAAGATAACATGGTAAAATGACTTTAAATTTCTTTAAGTAATTTACGTAACTTAGTAATACGAGACTGGTTCACGGGGTGGATTCCTCTCTAAATATATTATAAGCCTTCATATTAATTCTAAACCGAATTTTCAGTCAGGAGTAAAATTTAAGCCAGGGGTGACCCTTAAGCCAGTACATGTAGTTTTGGGAAGTTTCTGTATGTTATTATAAAGATCTGAATTTCATAGATTGATTATTAGATTCTAGCTGTTAGAATGATAGGTATAAGGAGTGTTTAGACTTGCAAATAAGTTATTGTGCATGTTAA